CATTTGTATATTCTGCATAATGGGGTAAAGATTATTTCATAGAGCGAATAATAACTGAATTTGACTTTTTGTGAATTATAAACCTGTCACTGTCACTACACACAGTGTGACTCATTCCACTAACACGGTCTTTATGTGAAAATGCACCTACATGCACACAGTTAATATGTGTATTCACAGTCTCACCCGCAGGATGATTGACACAGAGAGGGGAGGAGGGGATGCTGCTGCTGCAGGACTCAGCAGTAAGAGCAAGGAGATGGAAAAAAAGAAGAGGTCCCGTGTCAAACAGCTGCTGGGTGATGTGAAGAAGCAAGTGGAGTTCTGGTTCGGGGATGTCAACCTTCACAAGGATCGCTTTCTGAGGAAACTCATTGAAGACTCGGACGATGGGTGTAAGGGGCTATCAATATCAGTAGTACACCACTTTATTCAGAAATGTTTTGACATGAAGACACTTGATTTTTGTCTTAAACATTGCACTAAATGTCTTATTTGTCTTAGATGTTGATATATCTGTGTTGGCGGACTTCAATCGTATGAAGAAGCTGACGACTGACACCAAGCTGATCGCGAGAGCGCTGAAAAATTCAACTGTAGTTGAGGTACTGTGAAGTGAATCTTTTTTGTGATTTCTTCTGAAAAACACCTAAGAAATGTCTCACTCTAACAGTGAATGTTTTGATTCTGTTTCTGTTTCAGGTTAACTTAGAAGGAAATAAAGTGAGGCGTCAGCTTCCAATTGGAAACATACCAAATAATGTCGACAGCCGCACAGTCTATGTGGTAAAAAGAGTTTTACTTTCTTATTTTAATGAGATTTTCTGAGGAATCTACGTTTGCAGAAATAAACAACAATTTGATTGAAGAATATTCTTGGTTCACAAAGTAACACATTTCTTTCTTTCTTTCTTTTTTTTAATTAGGAACTTTTGCCCAAGGATGTGACACACAGCTGGATAGAGAGAGTGTTCACAAAATGCGGGAATGTGGTTTATGTCAGCATCCCCAGATACAAGTCCTCTGGTGACTCCAAGGGTTTTGCCTTCGTAGAGTTCGAGAAAGAGGAAGAAGCTCAGAAAGCCATAGAGGTGATGATGTAATAGAGTTTCAGTGGCTTAAATATGTGATCATTTTGGTCACTCCGGTGTTTGTTTTTGGCTGGACAAAAACTCATGGAAAGTTTTGGTCTTGGTAACAGATGCTGAACAACCCCCCTGAAGATGCTCCCAGGAAGCCAGGGATTTTCCCCAGGACGAAAAGCAGGAAGCCCCTTCCTCTGCCAGGTGACAATCCACCCTCAGGTACAGTTAATTCAAATGCTAAAACAATAATTACATATCTGCTTCTCTTTACCATCTAGAAACATCAAATCATGAGTAACTGATATCAGGAAAAAGGCTGTTTTTTGCCGTATTGATCCCCACATCTTGACATTCATCTGTTATAGGTGAAGAAGAGGAGAAGAAAAAGCGAAAGAAGAAGAAAAAGAAAGAAGGTGCCTCAGTACAGGCTCCTGCTGAAGAAGCCAAAGAGCAGGCGATGGAAGCAGAGCCAACAGAGCAAAAGAGGAAGCGCTCAACGGCAGGGGACTATGAACCTGAGGTTGCGACCACTCAGAAGACACCAGGCAAACTGTCTGAAAAAAAAAGGCGAAGGTCACAGACAGCAGAGGGATCCGAAAGCGAAGTACCATCCAAGATAAGAAAGACAAGTGAAAGTGAAGGTGTTGAGAAGGATGTTACAAAGACTAGTAAGTGATGGATTATGGACTGCTCTACAAATTATTAAAAAAGAATACTTTCTTTTACAAAGTTTCCTTTTACCCCTTCCACTGTCTGGGCCTTTTATTTTCACAGTCTATAAATACATAAAGTATGATTTACAGCAGTGAAACTGCGTGTTAGTTAGTGTTATAGCAACTGTGTTATTCCCCTTTTTAGATCCACCGGCTCAGAGCGACGCAGAGAGAGGTGTTGAGGAGGGGAAAGAAAACAGAGATGATTCAACAGTGAAAGCAAAGAGGAAGAGAAAAAAGAAACACAAGGAGAAGCTGAAAATTGGCGAGGAGGTTATCCCACTCCGGGTTTTATCAAAGTAAGGCCCTACTTCCCTTTTTCATCATGCATTAGCAAGAATGAATTAACAACTGAAAGCCCCTTCAGAACCCAGTGAACATGTTTCTTCTTCTTTTGTCCGAATTAAGGAAGGAGTGGCTCGAGTTGAAGCAAGAGTATCTGACTTTGCAGAAGCGCAGTATGACGTCCCTGAAGAAGTGCATTAATAAGATTGATCACAAGGAGCACAAGAGTCTAATGGAGACAGACAACCATCCTCAAGATGGAAATAGTGAGTTTTGTCTCCACTAATCCCAGTAACTTGTAACGGCAGAGTCTTAAAATAGGAGGAAAAACATTAGTGGTGCCTAGAGGAGTTACATACACAGTAGACATTGTTTAACACAGATAATTCAGCACTTAACTGCCATAAGCAGGGGTGATTTGTTGGCAATTATGTCAGAAGTAATCCCATTTTGATATATCATTTGTTAGATATTGTTAAACGGTATCATATGAATGTGGGTGCGGAAAGTACAATCAAAGTCCTTTTCCTGGAATTTTTTTGTTAATACTTAACACCTCACGTAAGCTAGAGGAGCTTACAGCTATTGGTTATAATAAATGCTTCTGTTTAATGCAATAACATTGTTGTTGTTTTTTTCTTCTTCTAGTGGAAAAGAGTAACAAAAGTGAGAAAGCCGCTAACCAAGGCCCTCAGTTTACCAGTGGGGTCATCATGAAGATTACAGACAACAAGCCGCTACCAGGGAGAAAGTTCCTCAAAGTACAGTACAACTCAATTGTCATTATCATTTGTATTTGCATAGAAAAATATGCTTTTCATGTTGACACACAAGTCAGTGCTGTTTTTAATTCCTAAACTCATTCATTTCTATTCTTAATTGGAGTCGACCTATATATCGTATGGATATACACATTTGTGAATTCCTTTGAATGTGATGGTATAGCAGCATAATATCACAGAATGAACTTGATTCTCCTGTGGATCCAAAGCAAAAGTCAATTTTATCCTGTAGCATGTACTAAACAAGCCGGACTGGACAGGTTGGCCTATATCACAGTTAATTTATTGCTAAAAATGTGTGGGTCTGTTCCTCATTATATGTAAAGATAACATAAAGATTTACATTAACCAAGTGAGGCATATGTACACAATGTTGTTTACCTCTAAATGCTTGTCTGGGGATTATTTTGTACAGGACGCTCTGTGTAAAATATCACCAGTGGCGTACATCGACATCTTGGATGGAGACGCTGAGGGTTACATCCGCTTTCACACCCCAGAGGATGCTAAAGTCGTCAGTGACGCTCGAGCAGAGCTACAGAAAGAGCACAGCTGGAAGCTAGAGATTCTCTCAGGTATGACTGTTTATTTCCTTATTTCAAGCTAGAATCATTGCCTATATGCTCCTGTCTCCTGTTGAGCAGAGGATGTGAATGACTGAGCTGGCACTTTCATAATTGATGATAGTGGAAATAATTTATTGGGACAGCGTCCATCAGCCTGTCTCAAGTTCTGTTTTTCATAGTTAAGATTTCACCACTGTAAAGCCCGAAGAGTTGTTAGTCCCGATGTAACGTAATAAATCTGTATTCAATGCCTTTCAAAGGTGACCACGAACAAAGGTACTGGCAGAAGATCCTAGTGGACCGCCAAGTCAAGCTGAATCGTCCAAGGGAAAAGAAGCGGGGAACAGAGAAAGTGAGATCACCCTTTACATTTTTAAGTAGAAAAATACATATACATACTTAGCACAACAAATATATTATTGATCAGTTATTCCATTGTGAGTATATAAATAAGATGTTTACAGCATGTTGTATCAGCACAGCAAAATTATGAGTAATCCAAATAAAGTGATATTGTTGATATATAATATTAAGTTGTGACATTATATTGACAGACACCGTTTTATATGATAATATTCAAAATGCACAAAAACCAAAAAACAAACATTTGTGATTGAAAAGCAGCTTATCCTGAATCCCTTTTTGGATATGGACTAATACTTGGAATCATTTTGGCATATGAACACACAGTACAGACACCATCACGACAGTTAAAGCACTGCAACCCCTTTGTTTATTTGCTATCAATCACATCTAATTTCTTATTTTCTCTTCACACTTCAGCTCATATCCAAAGCCGAAAAAATCATCATTGCCCGGGCCAGGGAGGCTAATAAGCACATCCGTTTCCAAGAAGACTGACGGCTGCTGAAACTAGTTTTTGACAACCAGACACGTTCCACTGCGTAGACTTTAAACGACGTGGTTTAAAGGGGACAGTTGGTGTTAATGTGGATTTAGCTGGAGGAGAACTAAACCGAAACTTGGAATAAGTTTAAACTTGTTAAAATGTCCCCTCATTTTTTTGTTTGCACTGGAGCCCCCAAGAAAATGTGGAATGCTGCTATGCATATAGATATTTTGGCAATTTGTTTTTTTTTTTAATTGATAGACTTTGTTTTTTTTTAAAAAAAGATTCTGTATATGATGTAAATATGATTGATTTTGAAAGTTCTCCCAGTCAAGACATGGACGTCGTGGCATTATCTTTTGATGATATTTCTGTTTTTTTAATAAAATGTCATTATTTGATTATTACAGAATTTATTGTTTGATATTTATAACACACTTGTGCTTCTTATAAAGATTGTGTCCAAACAGGAATCATAGGCAGCAGCCTTCATGTACTCACTCCCAAATAGTACTGTAAGTTATTGCCGTTGAAAAGTGACACATTGGGTCCAGATTACGCTTTTGAAGCCTCTAAGCTGTCTAACTTGTTTCCCAGACTCAATATGAATTGACTTCAATTTAATAGATTACATAATACTGAAAATGAAATGTGCTGCGGAGTATCAGTGAGATGCTTACTAGTACAAAAATAGCTGCCGTTACATAATCTCAGTTCCATTTATGGCTTTTATTGATGTAAAGGTAGAAAGTACCTGAAGCAATGTGTGGCAGCACCACATCTTATCATCAGCCTGGTCTCTAGGAAGCACTTAGCTTCTGCTGACCATGCATTTGGTGATTTGGTGTTCCTCGGATGGGGCCTCACAAATGTTACCATCGGGCCAAGTCACTCCTTTATCCAGAGAGGTGGACCAGTACCTCCTGGATTCTTCAGTGCCGTTGGAGATGCATTCAAAGCCAGAAAATGCTCCATTCTCAGCGGGGCATGGAGGGTTGTGGGTGACATGACAGCTGGAATCACAGCCTGCACTCTCGTTCAATTTGGGAGAATGGCTGAAAGGCTTTGGGTTTGTTTTGCTCTCAGCAGGCTTAGGTGTAATGATTGAAAAGGTTGTTCTCTTGGGCCTGTCCATATTTTCTTGGGCGGTGGGGAAGCGTCGCGGTGTGTCCCAAGCTTTGTAGTCCTCCTTCATGGTAGTCGTTGCCTGAAAGGGCTCCTTGCTTTTCTCGCTGCTTTGCATAGATGGCAGAATTGGTTTGGTACGCTGGCACTGCTTAGCCGTGTAGTCTGTGTGTGTTGTGGAGAGGAAGTTGTTGTGTTCTGCTGGTGGGCTGGGTCCTTTGGCTTTACCTTGACCATGGAACTTGGTTTCAAGGGACCAGTTCTTGAATTGCTGAAAGAAGTCACTGGCTTCATCAAAAATCTGTTGGTGTATGTCCCAAGGTCCCTTTGGCTTTGAGGACACTGGCTTCATTGGCTTTGAGGACACTGGCTCCATTGGCAGACCTCTGTTAGGTTCCTGCACCGGCTTCTGTGTGCGAGTCCTGGGCTGCATTGCGTGGGTGATATAATCTGATCTGTAGCTGGTGATGCTTTCAAAAGGTTGTGGTTCTTGGGGGACTGGCTTAGAGTCCGCTGCATCTTTGGAAGCTTTTGTAGCAACTAATCCTTGGTTGACTGTCAAGCTGTCAGGTAACTTAAAGGGCTGGCGCTGGGTTGTTTTCCATGCTCGGAAATCATCTGAAAACAAGAAGAGAGTAAGGGTGTATTTGAATCATTATGTATCTGTTTGTCATTTTATATTTCTACAATATAGGACTCAGATTGCTTACTTTTGTACACTGATGTGTAGTCCTCCACTGTGGATTCCATCTGGTTTGTCACTAAGTGTCGAGGATTTTGTAGGGGATTGTGCGGGGCACTGCTGCATCTCTGGTGGATTTTGGGCGGCATAGATGGCTGTGGGGCTTTTGGTGGATGCTTTGTCCATTTGTGGGTCACATAGTATGACCTGAAACATGTTAATGGTGCGAGATGAGCCATTTCTCCTTTACATTTTTTTGTCAACAGGTAGGGTTGAGGTGTGTAGAGGGCCAGCTACACCTCACAAGTGGGAAAAGGTGAGAAGAGACAGAAATTTTTGATCTTACTTAAAAGTGGCCACATCGGCACTCGTCCCCTTCAACGAGTGGTAAGGGTTTTTCAGTGTTGACGTTAAGACGACAGTGGTGTGGCAGCTTGGGTTATGGAACTTGTCCTGATACTCCGTGGTCATGGTCGCCCGTGTCTTGGCTCTCGGTGGGCCGGGCTGCTTCCTGGACATCAACACAAGGCAAGTTTATGACACTTTGAACAACAAGTCAGTTGTGCTTTAACCCTCATAAGGCAATACAAACCATTAAAAACCAGTCAAATTCAGAAGAGAAGATAAAAAGCAAGTTTTCAGTGCTGTCATGGGGATTGTCAGGTAAAATAGCATGTTCACCAACATTTTAGGTGCTTGTTTTGGTGCCAACTTTCTACCTTTCCACAAAGACAAATCAAATCAGCAAATGACAGTTTTTCAACGTACAGAATCAGCATAAAACCCCTGCAGGAGTCAACCCAGCTCACATCTTTTGCAGACATATGAAAACAAACATCCTCCAAACTTCAGGTCACATAATTCTCCTTAAAAATAATGTCAAATTTGAAAAAATACAAGCTAGTATTTTGTGTTTTCTCAGCACAGCCCATCTAAAATTGCTCTCTCATGAAGAAAACCTGATAAATGCATGACCCTCACCTCGTAGATGGGGCTTGCAGGTTGCCGTCTTGCTGCCTTTTAGTTTTGGGGTGCATCGCTCTTCGGGCGGTGCACCCTGTGCGCTTTTTTTGGCGTCCTGTGGCTCGGAGTTGTGGCAGCCTGCTCTGTGACTCTTCGCTGCAGGCCTACGGCATATGAATTATTGACCGGAGGAGCATGGGGTGTGTGTTGAACGAGAGTAGCACGCAGCGGCCGAGAGCTTCTAAAAATAAACAGAGTGGATGACACTCTGATGCAGGCTGGTCGTCAAGGAGAGGACGCAGCTCGTGATGATGCGCTTTTTTTGCGCGTAAAGAGGATTCCAAACCCTGACGTTACATACAGAGGAGCAGCTACTTTAGAAAGATACAGAGTCCTCTGTGTGTGTGTGTGTGTGTGTGTCCTTTTAAAATCAGATGGCGTTAGACTTTCAGCCTACGCGAGATTATGTTTCTTTTTTTATAATGCTGAATATGCAAGGTGCAGACGGGTCGTGCATTTTGCAACGTGACTTGGTCGCAGGGCTCCATCTGTCACTTTGTAGTCATGTCCAAAAAAAAAAAAAAAAAGGGGGGAGCAACACACACACACCAGCACAACTGTGACCTTGTGAAATACTCATTTCACCGGATGTAGTCATGGGCATTCTGCCACGCACAAATGTTCAATTATGGATTATTGAATCCTCACAATCAACGGCTTTGCAGTGTTTGTCCACTAGATGGCGTCCAAACCTTTAAAAAAAGACATCTAGAGAGACCATTAGGTCCACATTAGGCTGTAACAATTCCACTTTCAATTCAGAAATAATTTAATTAGTAATAAAAATAATAGATTTGACAGTTTTTTAACAAAATATTTGCTGCAAACTGGCAGTAGCTTAAAACAGAACTTGAGTTAAAGCATATTATTATTATTCTAATACAGCCACAGCTGTAAATTAGCTTTTTTTATTTGCAGACAACAGCATAAAACCAGAACAAAAATTAATCAGATGACCGGAGAGGTCAAGAGGACATAGGCCTGTACAATGGACCTCCCCTCAATTTAGAAAACAAAAAAGATAATGACTCAACAAAATACATAAACCACAATAAGAAATGCACAAAATGAGCAGAAGAATGCAGCACCATTTAGCAGACAATACACATGTAAATAGAGAAGGAAACAATTATGTAAAAGCAAAATTAGTCATAAGGAATTAAATGTGATGATGTTTTCCTTTGAAATTTTTCAAAAGAAACTTGATAATCTCTACATATTTGTACACCACGGTTTTACAAACAGGAAGGTGCACATTGACAACCTGTCTAGTTACTGATATCTGTAGACCTACATTTTAGTATTTTGTCCTGATATTCAGCACTCTGGTTACTGTAATCCTCATAACATTAAATATTTAGTGTTTCTTATAGAACTGTATTGTTTGCAGGGTGGAGAGGTCTCTGAAGCAGCATTTAGACCACGAGATACCAGAAGCAACCATAGATTTTCAAATTCTGGGGAAATTCTGACACACTAGTTCTGTAAAGGAATTAACTAATTATTTAAGTAATAACAAAACACAGCTCAGCATATGAAGTTAATGAACTGTGACAACAGCATCAGAAGTTGATTTATGTTCAAAGTACCTGTAAGTTAAAGGCACACTGGTAACTAGGTTAGGTCACATTTATAAAGTTACATAGTCAAAATGAAATACAAGTTAAATAAAGCCTTTGCACTCCCACAGGTGTTTTCAGTTATTCTGGCTGCTCAGGTAGAAGTTGTGAATTGCACGAGGACTCAATTTACCAATAAGAATTATAAAAGGGAGACTTGTCCCACCCTAACAGCTGCCACAAAGCTAACATGAGACTGAAGGAGATGTCAGTCAAACAGTCTTTTACCTGAAGAGGCCGAATCGGGCAAGATAGTTAAAATCTCCTGTGTGCAATTATCGCCTCTATCTCTCATTACATGAAGCATTATGGGTAGAGGTTTTGCACTCCAAGCCTGCGGATTATGCAACAATAACGTCAATGCTAAACTTAGTAACTAATTAATTTAAAGTGCTGTAGGACTGCTTGTGTTAATTTTATTCTGACACAAACAATGCAAACAATAGTTCTTTTGAGAAGCTGTGTGTTCCTTTGTAGACATGTTCTTCCACTGGATGTGGCATTTGACAACATCTCCCCCACCTGAAAAATGTCCATTTCCATTAGTCATCCTGGTAGTTTAACTGTTCCAAAGTGCCAAATGCCAGAGAGATTATGATGTCTGATTTTAGCATTAGTATAATAGACTTGGCCCATGTGAAAAGGCTAAAATGAACTTGAAGTTTAGGAATGTAAAACTATTAAGAGCTAATCAAAGAAATCAAATTATTCCAGTAGAATGCACTTGGTTATTTGGAGGACATTTGGATGAGTCAAATAACTCAGACCTCTGTGCACCCGTATCCTTCCTCCTGAGTGATTTTGAGTGAAGATATATTTTCACAGAGAAGCATTAAAATGCAAAAAGGCTGGAAAGAAGAACACCAGAATAAGTAGTCTGCAGAGGTTTATGGATATTTGAAGTCCTTCTTGGCTGCATAATGGAAAAATGACTTCTCTATTCAGTGTTATCAGAATCACTCAGAAATACATTTAGCCATCTTGAAATGGGTGTGGAGGGACAGATGTTGATATTGCTGTTAATTAAATATATCTTAAAACTAGCTCAACAGCCTGCACATTAAATTCAGATTGCAGCCTTCAGCCCTGATGCATTAACAGAGAGAACACTTGTTGTATTGATTCTTATGTAAGCCAAGCGGTTGAGCCAAAGCCTAGTAATACATTTGATTATCATTGCCATTCATACACACTGTGCAGCTATAATGTGGATTAGAGTTGATGCAAAGGGCAGAAATGTGTAGATGCATTCTTCATTTCGGCATTTCTGTCAGTGCTTTATATCTGAACCTCGCAGGACTTTCTCAAAATGATTTTTTCCTTACCATTTTTTTTTTCATGTAATGTGAATCACTGATGGTCTGTGTGCATTGTCTGCCATCAGAATTCAAGGCACCAAACTGTACAGAGGGGACACAGACTGTGGGGCTCTGCTTGAGCGCTGCTGATGGGCTCTCTTCTCTCCACATGATGTCTATTGAACACCATCAATCAATAAGATGTGCTCTTCTCCTACATTTGGACAGTTTAGTAAGTGCTTCTATCCACCCAAACCTTAGAAAGAGATATTTTCGTGCGTTTTTACGCAGCGCCATGGCCCCAATACATGTTAGCGCTGCCATAAATTGGCTGCAGAAAAATATATATATTTATATAGTTACATAGTGAAGAGAACTGGTTGGAGAACTCCATGAAAGATTTATTATCTTAAACGTATTTGCTGTCTTGCAATAAACCACATTTTTTGGAAAATACAAGTACTAATTGGCTCTTTACGCAGCGCTGCGTTGTTCTATAACTGGCAGGAATACAATATAACTGCACTTTATATCAACTAATGGCAATGCGCTCCACTGCGAGAGCGCAAAAGGAGCGGGTCAATAAATTATGTTAATCAGTCAGGACAGATTGGAGGCGTGTTGTTGCCGTAATGAGGGGGAGCATGCCTGCGCTGTGGAAAAGCTCCGAGTGGTAAACGCTGTCTCCACTACATGCGCGCTGCCTTCCATTTCCCCAGTCTCTCTTTCGACTTTATTGTGCATAATAGCAAATTTCCTCCGCAGCAGACTACTGTGCGAGGCTCCGTGCAACAAGTTTGCAGGAGCGACAACACGCCGTCACACAGGTTTACTCGCGTTTGGCTGCTGGAGTGGAGATCCACTCATCTATCTGTCGCTGTCACCACAAAGTCACTGGACGTGAACGCCGCCTCGCAGACACACAAACACACACACA